CTTGTACCACAGAGACTGGTCCATATCAAAAAGAACAAGATTGACCAATGCAGGCATGGATGCAGGAGGAAGAGGGACACTCATTCATTGTTGGTGGGAATGCCAACTTGTCCAGCCTTTTTGAAAAATAATATGGGAATTCCTCAAAAAGCTAGAAAAGGAGCTTCCATCCAACCCAGCAAAACCATTTCTGGGAATATACTATGCTAATTGCACTGCCATGGTCATTGAAGCTCCATGCACAATAGTGAATCTGGGTACAAACCTGAGAACATATGACTGGTTAAAGAAATTATGGTACATCTACTATGGAATACTATGCAGATGTTAGGAAAAGTGAAGTTATGAAATTACTTACAAATGGATGGACATCAAGAATACCATGGTAAATAAAATGAATCAGAAAGAGAGTGACAGAGATAGAATGTTTGCACTCATTTGTTGGATATGAAAAAAATAATGAGAATATGGACCAACACCCAAGGAGAGTAGAAACAATGGCCAGGAGGATTGGTAGCCCTCATCGAATGCTGGGGAAAAGACAGTTGCGATAGAGAAGGGCCAACTATGATAAAGATAGTTGGAAATGATCACTCTGGATAAGAACTGTATGCTGAAAACAGATAAAGAAACAAATATGATAATCTTTCATGACCTGAGAGGAAGGAGACAGAGAGAGAGACAAAGACAGAGAGAAAGGGTTGTTGTGTTTTTTTTTTTTTGTTGTTGGTTTTTTTTTTTTTTTGCTTTTTTTGGTCACACTAAACGATGCTCATGGATTCATGGATTACTCCTAGCTCTGTACTCAGGAATTACTTCTGGTGGTGCTTGGGGGGCCATATGAGATGCCGAAGATTGAACCTGGGTCAGCTGCATGCAAGGCAAATGCCTGACCTGCTGTGCTATCACTCCAAACCTCCAACCTTGGAGAAAGAGATTTTAATTGTAACACTGTAACTGTTGATTCAATAAAGAGAAGTGCATTTTTTATATTTCACTTAAAACCATCTCTTCCTATTGAATTTTTTAAAAATTTTTTTCAGAGGTACCACCATTGCATGTTTGTTTTCCTTCTCTCTTTTTCATGTTTCATATTATGCTTCACATTATCAAATCACATCTCAATGACTTTTACTAAAAAAGGACTCTCCCAATTTACATTATTTAATTTTGGTTTGCTGGCACACCCAGCAGTGCTCAGGGATTACTCTGTGCTCTGTGTGCAGGATTTAATCCTGGCAGGACTCAAGAAACCATTTGCCGTACTGGGGATTGAACCAGAATCAGCCAGGTAGAAGGCAAGTGTTTTATCAGCTATATTTATCCCTCCAGTTCAAAAAAGGGACTGTCATCTTAGTATGTCTCTTGTTTGCCTTATTCCACTTCCACTGGTCAGTTATAAGCCCATCCTTAAAGGATCAATAGGTGATTAACATTTTTTTAGTTACCATCTCTGAATTCATAGGTTTCTTTGGCTTTTATTGCTTTTGAACTATTTTAAGTAAAAGTAAAGGCCCTCCCATTGTTCATCGATTTGCTCGAGTGGGCCCAGTAACATCTCCTTTGGAGATTTTGTTGTTACTGTGTTTGGCATATCGAATACATCACGGGTGGCTTGCCAAACTCTGCCGTGTGGGCGAGATATTCTCGGTAGCTTGCCGGGCTCTCCGAGAGGGGCAGAGGAATCGAACTTGGGTCGGCCATGTTGGCTGCGTGCAAGGCAAACGCCCTACCACTGTACTAAAATCTGTCTTATCAATTTATAAATCCAATAGATAAATTTAGTTATTTCAGCATTGTAGGATGACATTGCTTTGTCCTTTCTCCCTTTCTCAACAAGGAGCTTAAGTTTATCAGGTTACACCCATTACAGTGCTCCTGAAGCACTTCCATTCCATTGTGTTTATCTGTAAATTCTTCCCTATGCTCTCCTCCCCAACCAGTTAATCAATTTTCCCCCTAATCAGACTCTGTTAACTTGTAAGGTTAAATTCCTCAGAAATCTATGATTTTATATGTAAGAGTGAAACATTGCCTTTCTCCTCTCTTTATGCCTTATGAACAGTTTACTTTAAAGCAATGCCCTTTTTGTATGGATACAGGAAGACCGTTAACATTATGCTTTGCAACTTAGGATTTAATTGGCCTTGAATATTATTCACTCCCGGGCACCTACTTTCTCGACTTAAGCCTCAGTTGCCCTTAGTTCCTAACACCCCAAAAGCAGGGTCCCGACGAGGGACTGAATGGACCCAGGGCAAGCAGTGAGCTACTCTGGCATCGAAATGGGCCAGGACAAAGTGCCACGATTCTTCACTATAAGAGTTTGATCATAGACAAATGCTGTCATGATCCGAAAGTAACGACGAGACTAGGATCCTGCTAGGGGTGGGAAAGACTATCTGGCCTGAGCACTGTAGTCTGAGATCGAGATGGCCCTAAGAGGGCAATTCTATAGGTTTAAGATATTTCTTACTGTATTCATACAAAATGATTTATATTATATATGCTTATATGCTTGTCGGACAAGGAGAGGAGAAACACACCCATGGGATTCTGCTCTAGGGTGGGTCGTCCTGCTGAGAGAGGATCTGTCCTAGGAGTGGCTTTTCCTGAGGGAAAGAATTCTACCCCTATTGTTTGTGACCACACCGATGTGTAATTATTTCCCCAACCCCTCATGCTTTGGGATTTAACTAGACTGTAAGAGTGGGCTAGGGGATCAGAAGGAGGAGAAAGAAGATCAGAAGTCAGAATCCAGACTCCAGGGAAGGAGGGTGAAGGGGGATTGAGGAGGAGAATGAAGTAGCATGGGGGAGGAAGAAGCAGGAGGCAGAGGCAGAGGAGAGAGACTGGAGTGGATGGAGAGAGGATTGGAATAAACTGAGACTAAGACCAACCAGCCTGGCCCTCGTTCTTTCCCTTGCCTGCCCATCGGCATTGACCTCCCCGGGGTAGGGAAAGTGGTGTGAGACTACCGAACACGGGCGACCAGAGATAGAGCCACTGGAGAGATAGAGCCACCACTGCAGCTGTGCCCCTTTTTTGAGTTTACACAAGCATAATTAATTCTTTTAACTTTTAAAAAAGAATTAATTTTAATTTAAGTCTCCAGTGACCCATGGGTCTCACCTATAAGCCATCTCCTGCCGGTGCCAAATAATCTCATCCGCCACCCTCCAGAACTCATGGCTGCTTCTCCCGGAAGGGAGCATAAAATGAGGCCCCATAACCATGCCACTGGACTCTGCGCCAGGCTGTTTTCACTCAGGGCACCCCAGTGGGTGAGATCCCTCCCCACCCCAAGGGACCCAACCTCGGCAGCCGACCTCCATTACCCAACTGCCACCATGCTCCAGGCTGTTTTCCACACGTTCATGCAGAACCTCACATATGAGTGAACATATTTCCGGGCACATCATAAGACACTCCCTACCCATTTTCCATTATTGCCACACCATATTTGATGGGGTTCAGACAGTAGGCCACAAATTTTAGAGGGAAATATATATCTATGCCTCTTGGAGATCCTGGCAAGCTACCGAGAGAATCCCCCCCACACAGCAGAGCCTGGTAAGTTTCCCGTGGCGTATTCGAGATGCCAAAAACAGTAACAATAACGGGTCTCATTACCCTGAAAGAACCTCCAATATGGCAGTTTCGTTGGGAAAGACGAGTAAGGAGAGGCTGCTAAAATTTCAGGACTGGGACAAATGGAGATGTTACTGGCACCCACTCGAGTAAATCAATGAACAATGGGATGATAGTGATACAGTGATACAGTGAGGTTGGTATACTTCTCTCTGGCAGCACACTATAACCAAAGGGGACAATGTGTCACAATAAGAGAGAGCATAGATTATAGGTAGACACACTTGATTGGAGTCATTACCTGTATGCCTTGGGAGGTTGCTTAAACCCATGAAGCTTCAGTTTTTCATCCATAAAAATTGGTTATTTTTGTGATATAATTAAAGAGATCATATGCAGTAAACACTTAGTATGCAAACAATTCTTAGTAATATTTGTGTTTCTTCAATCTTTTTTTTTGTCTTGTGTGGCTTCTAGCTCTTGTTCAATATTACTGTGTTCTATTTACATATTCTATTTTTCTCATCTTAATTTTATTTTATTAAAACATTCTTATTACAGTTTAGGTTAGTGATCTTCAACCACTGGTCCGTGGTTGACCAGTGCCAGTGTGCAGGTGTTGGGATATTAAAGTTACTGATCCACATACTTCTTTGACTATAACTGCCAGTTGTGGACTGGCGTATAGGACATACACCAGTCCTCAGGTAAAAAAGTTCAAGAGTGCTGGTTTAGGTAACAGAGTGATAATGCTACTAAATTTCATGTTATTGATATATAAAATGACGGCACCCCAATATCACGGAGGTGCCCATCACTCTCCACCACTGTCCTTATGTCACATCTGGTTTGACTTTCATTCCATCCGCCTTGATTTCTCTATCTGCTATTTGTTAACCAGTTTCACAATTCAAATGCCATTATTCATTTTGCCATGTTTCCTTGTTTTAAAGCAAATTACTCAAGTTCAGAAATCCATGTCTTTCGTGTTCCTTGTTATTTATTTATACAGAAGGTATAAATCATGTGTCCTGAAGATTTTTATCTTTTATGCATAATTGTTTATGCATAAAATAAAATAATTATTATGCATAATCCTTTTCCACCAAGTCTTCTAGGAAAGAAATTATGCTTGTGTTAGAGGAACCCAATGAACTGTTGAACTGGCATTTCTATAGAACTGGCATTTCTATAGAATACTTCCAATTATCCTGTTTTGCTTAATTTTTGTCTATCCTGTTCAAGAATTCACTTTTTTCCAATAAAATATTTTCTTTGAGAGTATCTCATATTGGACATTTTCACCAGGCTTGAATTTTATACTAGGTACATAGTCTTCCAGACCTCCAACTGTTTATTGATTAATTTGTTAATAAATTTTATGTCAGCTGTTTTTTCCCTTTTTATAAAAAAATATGGAATGTTTCACAAATTTGTGTGTCATCCTTGCGCAGAAGCCATGCTATTCTCTATATTGTTTCAATTTTAGTAAATGTGCTGCAGAAACAAGCACTATTAGCCTCTTTTTTAGTTGTCAGAAAAAGCACTCCACACAGGTCCAATTTGGGTCTAGAAGATGTTTAATACCAAATATTCCATTTCACAGACAGACTGACATGAAGTAATATTTCCCTTTAGCACCAAAAATTTAAGAAAATTTTCTTTTTATATATAATTTCTGGTCTGATTTGTGACTGTCTAGCTTATGTAAAATGAGAAAAAATGGAAATAATTCAAAGTGCTAGACATATCATAAAATAGCAGAACACTGGAATTAAAGTAAAACCCAAGAGATATAATCCTGTATTTAGTAACTTGATCTTGTATTATTTCACCTAAAAAAACCTCTAGCATAATGGATAATGTATTGATAAGGTAGAGAATCACTCTGTGATCAGAAAAATTAGAAAATTCATTTTCTTCTACACAGTCACATCTGGGTTACTGGGTTACCCTGCATGAAATCTGTCACCGTCTGTCCTCCCGTTGTTCATCAATTTTCTCGAGCGGGCCCAGTAACATCTCCATTGTGAGACTTTGTTGTTTCTGTGTTTGGCATATCGAATACATCACAGGTAGCTTGCCAGGCTCTGCCATGTGGGCAAGATACTCTCGGTAGCTTGCCGGGCTCTCTGAGAGGGGTGGAGGAATCGAAATCGGGTCGGCCATGTTGGCTGCATGCAAAGCAAACGCCCTACCACTGTGCTATCACTCCAGCCCCTTACCCTGCATGAAATATTCTGGAAAAATAGTCACCAACAAACTGGAGGAAGAAGAGGGCAGCCTGAGAATGCAGGATCTACAAATACTTTATAGCACAGAACAAAGGTCTAGGTATCCTGAAGTGTCTGCCTTGCTGAATAAATAATATACTTGCTAGATTATGTCTGGAAAATTTTTTGTTTTCGAATGATTAATGGTATGCCCTGTTGAGCACTGGTTTTCCTGAGTTTCCTTGAAGTTTCATGCTAGAGTTCAGTGATCACTCAAAAATGACAATGACCATTTACATATGCACAGGCACAAACACATGCAGACACACCAAGAGGTTTTCACAATAGTCAAATAAATCAGTCATTAGATATTCTAGATTTATTTTTCCAACTGGAAATTAGCAAAGTCCTCTAAGTTCCCTTTTATCCTTTGTTGGATTTTTTTGGTTTGTTTGCTGGTGACCACACCAATGGTGCTCACCCAGAGGCTATTCCAAACATGGTGTTCTTGGTTACTCCAAGAGGGTTTCAGGGGGTCATGTGATGCAGGGGATCAAACTCAGGTCTCTAACATATGCAGCAAATACACTAGCCCTTTAACTTGGTCCCTGGCACTTCATATCTAAGTCTTTTTTTTAATAGTCATTGTTAGATAAGCTATGCTGCATCTGTGCTTTAGATAATTTTTCACATTTATTTTAATCTTGTGTGTGTTATTATAATATGGAGGTACAAATAAGAAAAAATAATGGTCTACAAATCATCTTTTCCATGACATATCCCTATTAGAGTAACATATATATTTTTTTCTTAAAACATGATACTTTATAGTTCTCTTTCTAAATTTCTGAGTGATCAGAGTTGCTCTGAATTATGCAGATGGGAACCTAGACAGAAAGGATGTTAATATGTTATGAACATTTTCTGGATGCCAGGAGTTGTGTTGGATATTTATGTATATAACCTTAATGTCTGCAATAAGCTAGTGAGCTAAATAGTATTCCCTTATTTTAGGTGACTAACCCAAGTCCAGAGGAATTACCCACCTTACACTACAGGTAAACTGCAGAAAATACGTTAGAACTCAGGGCATTTGTTGTCAGAATCTTTTTCCAATTTTTTACGCTATTTCTCAGGCATTAACACACAGGTTTTTTGTACATGATTTTTATTGTGTTGCAACAAGTTTCTTTTACACTAGTTTTTTAAGTTTTTTAAGAGTTTTATCTTGAATGGTGGTTGAGTTTTTTTCAAATATCACTGCCCTGGTTTAAGGATTATTTTGGAGGGGTGATGCTTATTCAGAGAAACATGTAGTTTTACATGAAAAGTATCATCCTAAGCGAAATGAGTCAGAAAGAGAGGGATAGACATAGAAAGATTCATCTGGGGAACATAAAGTAACAAAATAAGAGACTAACACCCAAGAATAGCCGAGATAAATATCAGAAGGTTTACTCCATGGCTTGGAGGCCAGCTTCACACTCTAGGGGTAAAGGCAGCCCAGATGTAGAAGGGAGCACCAAATGGGGGGTATTGGAAGAATCCCCCCAGGATGGGAGAAGCATGCTGAGACTAGACTCTAGACAGAACATGTTGCCACTCGATGCCTCTTTTGCAGGCCATAGCACCCAAAAGGAGAGAGACAACAAAAGGGAGTGCCATGCCACAGAGGCAGGGTGGGATGGGGGGAAACGGGGGGTGGGGGGGGTACTGGGATCAGTGGTGGTGGAAATTGAGCACTGGTGGAGGGATGGGTACTCGATCATTGTACAACGGAAACACAAGTACAAAAATTTGTAAGTCTACAACTGTACCTCATGGTGTTTCACTAATAAAAAAAATTTTTAAAAAACCATGTAGTTTTATTCTTTCTGCCAAAGTGTATATCACATTAATTGATTTGCACAGGTTAAACCATCTTTGCATCCAAGAATAAATCCCACTCAATCCTGGTCTTGAACTGTTAGAAATAATAAATTATTCAGTAAATTTCAGGGACACAAAATTAATATTAAAAATGCATTTGCCTTGCACGCGGCCCATGCGGCCGACCTGAGTTCAATTCCTCCACCCCTCTCGGAGAGCCTGGCAAGCTAATGAGAGTATCTCGCCCGCATGGCAAAGCCTGGCAACCTACCCGTGATGTATTCGATATGCCAAGCACAGTAACAACAAGTCTCACAATGTTACTGGGCCTGCTTGAGCAAATCGATGAACAACGGGAGGACCGTGACAGTGACAGTGACTATATGGAATTATGCTTCTTATAAATTAAGCCTCTGTCCTCCAAAAGGCTCCATCCCTCTCAAAGAGCCTGGCAAGCTACTGAGGGAATTCCGCCCCTACAGCAGAGCCTGGCAAGCTACCCGTGACGTATTCAATATGCCAAAAACAGTAACAATAACAGGTCTCATTCCCCTGACCCTGAAAGGGCCTCCAATACAGCAGTGTTGGGAAAGATGAGTAGGAGAGGCTGCTAAAATCTCAGGGCTGGGATGAATGGAGATATTACTGGTGCCCACTTGAGTAAATCAATGAACAAGAGGACAATCACTGTCACTGTCCTCCCGTTGTTCATTGACTTGCTTGAGCAGGCCTAGTAACATTGTGAGACTTGTTACTGTGCTTGCCAGGCTTTGCCGTGTAAGCGAGATACTCTCAGTAGCTTGCTGGGCTCTCCAAGAGGGGTGGAGGAATCGAACTCGGGTCGGCCATGTTGCTTGCGTGCAAGGCAAACGCCCAACCCACTGTACTATAGCTCCAGCCAAACGGGACAATAGTGTTACAATGATAAATTAAGAAAACATCTTAATTTACAATACCATCAAAAGAATAAAATATTTTATAATAAGGTTAATCAAGAGAGTGAAAACTGTAGGAGATGCTGATGAGGGGAGAGGTGAAAGCAAAAGATTGACAATTCTTATGATATTCTAATAATTGAATAAGCTATGGATTTAAAGGTGTTAGCACAGCGGGTAGGGCGTCTGCCTTGCACGCAGCCAACATGGCCGACCCGAGTTCGATTCCTCCGCCCCTCTCAGAGAGCCCGGCAAGCTACCAAGAGTATTGGATATGCCAGACACAGTAACAACAAAGTCTCCAATGGAGACGTTACTGGGCCCGCTCGAGCAAATCGACGATCAACGGGAGGGCCTTTACTTTACTTTACTTTACAATTTTATAGTTACATTGTAGGTAAGTGTTCTGTACTATATAGACTTTTGTAGAATATAAGACTAAATATGAAGGAAAGTCACATTGCTATTTTTATAGTTGATTTAGAGGGTCAGCTGGAGGGTCAGTTGAATTAGAGGGTACAGCCAGTAAGGCCTTGCAATCAGAAGATCTCGGTTTGATCCCCAACACCCCCAAAGGCCCCCTATCCTGCTATGATTCCTGAGCATAGATCTAGAAGTAAGACCTGAGTACAGACAAGTGTGGCCCAAGAACAAACAAGCAAAAAAAGTTGTATTAGAACAGTTGGTCATCTGCCTGATGACAACTTGGGGCTACAAAAGAAAATGAATCACCTGAGTTAAAATTTCTGACATAAACTTCCTGCATGAGTTAATATTTGTGTGATTCATTCACTTCCACTATTCTTGCAGCAGTGTGAACGTCAAAAACTCTATGTTAAGTGAACGAATTTTAGTACTGAGAAATCCACAGTTTAGTCGTTGTCAACGTGATTTTTATAGTCTACGAAGGAAGACTGACATCTTTCTTACATCCCATAACTATTTCCTCCTTGCTAGACATTTGAAAAGCATACAGATAATCTGATTTGGTACATATGGAACAAATATGTGTATCCAACCTCAAAAAATCTTAATAGGAGACACACACCTTGACAGTGATAAAGTGTGACTCGAGACAGGGAACATCCCATCCATGCTTCAAAGTGTCTGAGATCTGAGGAAAAGAGAAAGAAAAGATAGTAGCTAGGGGATTTGAAACGTAACCTGAGAGGAGGAGAAACCCTTGACTTTTGACCCCTTTCCTCTTCTGGTTCCAGCAGACCCTGTCCAATAACACTTTTCTAGTGGCCTCATCACCCAACTGATGTTTTTTATAAAGTGTCTTCTCTGTTCTTCTTGGAAACACTCAGAAAAGCTCATTTAATTTTTTTAAAAATTTTATAAAGTAGTTTACAATATTTGATTACATTTAATATTCAAACATCAATCCCACCAGCATTACACTTTCCCACCACCATATTTCGGATGTTTCCATCCCAAACCTCAATCCTTGCCCCAAAGCAGAACCGAAATAATATATTCACTATTGTTAGTTA